TTGGTGATTCAGTTTTCTGAGAAGTCCAAGTGGCTTATTTGAGGTTAACTACATTTGGTTCCTTTAAACCTGCAACTTGACTTTGTCGACCGTGTTGGTCCAACATGTCAGTATCTGATGAACACAAACCATCGTGCGGTCAAACAATCATTTCTGTTCTTCATTTGGTACCACACGTAGAGGTCGCTTAGAAAGCTCCTCCTTTAGTTTCTTCTGCGCTGAAGGACATAAAAGCTGAGCAGAAACAGACTTCTGGACTTCTGACCTGAAAACAGAAGACTTCTCAGACGTCTGGGACAAGACTTCCTCACTCTCATCTTCGCCAGGTAAGCCTTTTTGTTTAATGGTAAGTGAAGCTAGCTCGTGTTTTCTGGACCGGAGATGTATGAGATAATTAAAATAAGAGCTCAAACCTTAAAAATAGATGTCAATTACAGCAGTTCCTCTGAGAAGTTTTCTACAGCTAATATTTTACAAAGAGTCAAATATTTCACGGCTGTCATCTTTCAGTGCCACAGATCATTTTGACGTTAAGCTGGTCGTAGTTTGAAACTCCAGAACCAGTCGTTTCTTCTCGGGTAATTTAAAGGGCGGCGGTGATGACAGTCGTGTACGACTGAGCGGGATTTAACACAGAGTTGTGTATTTGTGTCGCTAATCCGGACCCTCGTGAACGGTTCCACGCACACGTCGGGACGTGGCAAAACAGATTTTTATTTTTAATTTGACGCAAAACATTTTCAGTCCACAGTATCAAAGTACAAAGTACAGAAACTCCCAAATACACATAGATATTACTCCATTTGGTATTCTGAACCCTTTAAGCGAGAAAGTTCAGTAAATTAAAAGTTGTGTGTTGGACAAAAACACATTCTGACCCCACCTGTTCCAGCGGGGGACAACAGCAGATTGTTTGAGATGTGAGAGTTCATAAAGGATTTAAAACCTTATGTTCGTGTTTACACAGGACCCTGAACCAGTTTGACACATGTTCAGACCAGCTGAAAACAAGGTAAGGACCTGATTTGGACTCAGGATCGGACATTTATTTATTTAAAACAGACAAATCTGGTTTTTAATGAGGGAGTCATTTAAATATTTGTATATATTTGGGGAATAATTTCAACTTTAAACTTCTCATTAGGACACGATGAGGATCCTGCTGTTCTGCTCATGGCTAATTCTACTTGGTGCCTTGGAGGAACCAAGCTGGTCCGAACCAGCAGGACAACCATGTGTAAATGCAACTTACGACGACTTCAGAAAGCGGCACATAGCTCCAAGCATGACGGCCCAAAAATGTGACTCGGAGATCAAACGGAAACGGATCTACGATCCAAACAACAGCTGCAAGCCGATCAACACGTTCATCCTCGCCAGTGCAAAGAAGGTCAAAGCCATTTGTAAAGGTCAAGACAAAACCAATACAAACTCTGAACTGACTATTAGTAAAGAGAAGTTCAAAATCGTTGTGTGTAAACTTAAAAACAATGTGAAGAAACCCAGGTGTGCGTATCGCGGGAAGCTTCTGACCAACAAATTGGTCGAAGTGGGTTGTAGAGGAGGTTTACCTGTGCACTATGAGAAGCACCTTGAGAGCTTTGATCGTTCTCCACAGCTGAGAATATGACTCGAATACATCACGCAGCATTTACAAACATGAGTGTCTGTTCAAACTTGTTTTGGCAGATCTCTGCTCGACTTTGATAATTCAGCATAACTTGTGTGGTGCATTTATGGCTTTACCACAAAATTCAAAGAATAAACCTGCTTTTGCAACATAAAAACCATCTCGGAAAGTTTTATTTCTTTGTTTATTCATCCTTTCTTTATACAGGTTAGTCCCATTGAGTCACGAGGACTCATTTACAAGAGAGACCTGGATTTCAACGAAGAGTGAGAGAGCAGTGACTTAGATCATCTAGTTGATCATCTTACAACTTCAATGCAAACTTCACTTGATAAAATTGCTCCACTGAAAAAGAAAGTAATCAATCAGAGGAAACTGGCTCCTTGGTTCAAATCTGAGTTGCATACTTTGAAGCAGAAATCTAAAAACCAGGAGAGAAAATGGTGCTCTAATAACATGAAATAATTTTATTGAACTTGAAAGATAGTCTGCTAACTTATAAGAAAGCTCTCCATAAAGCTAGACCTTTTATATTACTCATCTTTAATAGAGGAGAATAAAAATAACCCTAGGTTTCTGCTTAGTTTTATTGCTAGACTAATTAAAAGTCCCATTTCTGTTGGACCATGTATCCCTACAACTATAAGTAGTGATGACTTCATGAGATTCTTTATAAATAAAATTATTTCAATTAGAGAGAAAAGTCAAATCCTTCCTACTGCTGCCCCTGGTTCCATGTCAGATGATGCAGCTTTAGATATATTACTGGAACATGGTTTGTGTTTGGACAGTTTTTGTCCTGTTGAGCGCTGAATTGTCAAATATAATAACCTCATCCAAACCATCCACATGCCTGCTAGATCCCATCCCAACCAGACTGTTTAAAGAGGTATTTCCACTAATTAATGTCCACATTTTGGATCTACTTAATTTGTCTTTAATGAATGGTTGCGTACAACAGCGCTTTAAGGTTGCTGTAATTAAACCTTTAAGAAGTCTGATCTTGATTCAGACATTCTTGCCAACTATAGACCTATATCTAATCTAACTTTAATCTAAAAAATTCTAGAGAAAATAGTTGGTCAGTTATGTGATCATCTGCAAAGAAATTCATACAGCTCTCTACTATTTCTGTACAAAGACTAATCAGTGCTTTATCACATTCATACACCGATGGGACACATATCGGAGGCATTTAGGGGTTCAGTGTCTTACCCAGGGACTCTTCGGCATGTGACTGCTGGTGGAATCAAACCCCCAACTCTCGAATTGAAGGACAACTGCTCTAACCATTCAGCCACAGCCACCCAATCTGATCATCTGCAAAGAAATAATCTGTTGGAAGAGTTTCAGTCAGTGTTTAGAGCTCACCACATGCACTGAATCTGCACTGGTGAAACTCACTAATGATATTCTCACGGCCTCAGACAATGGACTTGTGTCTATACTGGTCCTGTTAGACCTCAGTGCTGCATTTGATACAATTGATCATAATATTTTACTACAGAGGCTTGAATATGATATTGGGATTACAGGAACAGCTCTAAATTGGTTTAAATCACATTTATCTGATAGATTCCAGTTTGTACAAACCGGATTCCAAAAAAGTTGGGACACTAAACAAATTGTGAATAAAAACTGAATGCAATGATGTGGAGATGGCAAATGTCAATATTTTATTCGTAATATAACATAGATGACAGATCAAAAGTTTAATCTGAGCAAATGTAACATTTTAAAGGAAAAATATGTTGATTCAAAATTTCACAGTGTCAACAAATCCCAAAAAAGTTGGGACAAGTAGCAATAAGCGGCTGGAAAAAGGAAATTGAGCATATAACGAACAGCTGGAAGACCAATTAACACTAATTAGGTCAACTGACAACATGGTTGGGTATAAAAAGAGCTTCTCAGAGTGTCAGAGTCTCTCAGAAGCCAAGATGGTAAGAGGATCACCAATTCCACCATTGTTGCGCAGAAAGATAGTGCAGCAATACCAGAATGGTGTTACCCAGCGTAAAATAGCAAAGACTTTTAAGTTATCATCATCAACCGTGCATAACATCATCAAAAGATTCAGAGAATCTGGAACAATCGCTGTGCGTAAGGGTCAAGGCCGTAAAACTCTACTGGATGCTCGTGATCTCCGGGCCCTTAAACGTCACTGCACCTCAAACAGGAATGCCACTGTCAAGGAAATAACAGAATGGGCTCAGGAATACTTCCAGAAAGCATTGTCAGTGAACACAATCCACCGTGCCATCCGCCGTTGCCAGCTGAAACTCTACAGTGCAAAGAGGAAGCCATTTCTAAGCAAGCTCCACAAGCTCAGACGTTTGCACTGGGCCAGGGGTCATTTAAAATGGAGTGTGGCAAAATGGAAGACTGTTCTGTGGTCAGATGAGTCACGATTTGAAGTTCTTTATGGAACACTGGGACGCCATGTCATCCGGACCAGAGAGGACAAGGATAGCCCAAGTTATCAACGCTCCGTTCAGAAGCCTGCATCACTGATGGTATGGGGTTGCATGAGCGCTTGTGGCATGGGCAGCTTGCATGTCTGGAAAGGCACCATTAATGCAGAGAACTATGTTCAGGTTCTAGAACAACATGTGCTCCCATCTAGATGTCATCTCTTTCAGGGAAGACCCTGCATTTTTCAACACGATAATGCCAGACCACATTCTGCAGCAATCACAACATCATGGCTACGTAGGAGAAGGATCCGGGTACTGAAATGGCCAGCCTGCAGTCCAGATCTTTCACCTATAGAGAACATTTGGTGCATCATAAAGAGGAAGGTGCCACAAAGAAGGCCCAAGACGATTGAACAGTTAGAGGCCTGTATTAGACATGAATGGGAGAGCATTCCTATTTCTAAACTGGAGAAACTGGTCTCCTCTGTCCCCAGACGTCTGTTGAGTGTTGTAAGAAGAAGGGGGGATGCCACACAGTGGTAAAAATGGACTTGTCCCAACTTTTTTGGGATTTGTTGACGCCATGAAATTTGGAAACAACAGATTTTTCCCTTAAAATGAAACATTCTCTCAGTTTAAACTTTTGATCTGTGATTTGTGTTCTATTCTGAATAAAATATTAGATCATTAGATATTAGATATCATTATATTCAGTTTTTATTCACAATTTGTTTAATCTGTGTGTATATATATACATATATATATTTATATATATAATAAAAGTTTCAAATGTATATTTTTAAATATCAACCCAAACTTCATTGTATTAGTTTGTTTTTTCTCATCTGAAATGAAATTTAAAATAAAATATAAATACTTGGATTTGACAAACGGCCGCATGGCTCGGTCAGTTTGTCACTCGATGTCAGAAATAAATAAAATGATGTCAAAGAGTAAAATAGTTTATTGTTTGAGTAAAGATGAACAGAAGGCACACAGACAGTATCTGAGGGTCAAGGTTACACCGGTGTCGGCCATCTTGCTCCCGCAGGACTTCCTGCCGACGCGACACACGAGCGAGCCGTTAGCAAAAATAGATCCATATAGAATTATACATTTCCTCTACGAAGCAAACAAACTTTACAAAATGCAGAAACTATCCGGCCGTCCATGCTTGTTACAGAATCAAAAAATACTTTTTATTTTAAATCGTTATACCAAAACATACAAGTCCATAAAAAGCCAAAAATATCAGCTTTGAAACGAGGAGCAGGACACGACGGACAGCTGTTCATCCAGATGTTGCAGGGGTCAAAGGTCAGAAAAACGTTTGTTTTCAGGGCGCCGTGGCTGTGAGATAGTTTTTGGTTGCAAAACAGATCCCAGAGTTTACAAACGCGACGACTACAGCGATGGCCATGCTACGGAGCTACCACGACAGGAAACGACTAGCGTGACCGCCAAAATAAAAGGATAACTGAAAAAATAAAATACTGTCACAAACCGGACAAACTGTCGTGTTTGAAAAAGAACTAATTGTACAACTGAAATGTCAGATTTTAATGGTTTAAATCTTCTTGAATAAAAGTGTATGTTGTATTTTAGCTTTATTTTGTTAATAATAATAATAATAATTTGCCCTTTTTTATTTGAACAAAATTACAACTTTAAATCCAAACCACGATTTTCTGGTCGTGAATTGTCTAATTATTTTATTTGGAAAATTTATAGTTAGATTTTTGTCTCAATCGTACCTTTTTGTAAATATTTTAAGCGAAATTGAAAATTAATTTATAAATTTGGACTTTTTTTTCTTTAAAACTGTTAAATCTGGATGTGAACTCATTTAAATGAGTGAAACAAGTTTTGGAGAAAGAAAAGTGTTTTTCTCTGGAGGAAGTTTAACAGTCTTTAAAAAAACAAAACGTGTTTCAGCATTTCCAGGCTCCGCCCCCTGCGGGTCAGTACGGGTAGCTGTCAGGGAACCCCAGGCCCCGGACGCATTGCTCCGCCCCCTCCACCAAGTAAGGCCCCTCCTCCTCATATCCGGGCAGGGGGAAGCCGTCGTCCTCGCTGGGGGGTAGGACGGCGTCCAAGTCCACCTTCAGACTCGGCCTCTGGTTCTCCGGGAACGCCATGGAGAACAGAGCGTCGGGGTTGCACACGAACTTGTAGACGTACCGTTCTCCGGCCACCTGCGGGACCGACAGAAGGAAACGACACGAACGTTTGAGCCCGTTTCATCATTTTATTCACGTTTAAAACACGACAAACTCCAGCGCTTCAAGCAGAAAGAAAATACACTTACATGAAACAAATTCAGGATAAAATATAGAGCCACGTTATTCACCCGTCCAACTTTCATACAGAAATCTATACAATGACCATGGTCTAACTTTGACCTTGACCGATGACCTTGATTTTAGAGATGGGGCGACAGAAAGTGTGACGATGTTTCCAGTGAGGCAGATAAGTATCGGGTTTCAGTGAATTATCTCGAGTGGATCAGAAGTTACGGCCACATGCTTTTGACCTTGACTGATGACCTTGAAGCTAGGGTGATTAAAAGTGTATGTGACGATGCTTCAAGCAATGGTGTATTGGGTTTTATTAAATTATTTTGAGTGGATCAGAAGTTATAACCCCTTTTAACCTTTAACCTTTGACCTTGATTTATGACCTTGACTTCAGAGCTGGGATGATCCGTGATTCCAGTGAAGCAGACGTGTATCGGGTTTCATTAAATTATCAAGCAGATCTGAAGTTATGGCCCGAGCGAGTTTAAGCTTTGACCTTGACTGATGACCTTGAAGCTGGGGCAATTAAAAGTATGCATAATGATGTTTCGGGTGATGTGATGACATGTTTTAAGTTTCGTTAAATTATCTTGAGCAGATCAGAAGTTATGGCCCTGTGTTTAACCTTTGACCTTGATTTATGACCTTGACTTCAAAGCTGTGGTGATCGAGCGTGATTCCAGTGATGAGTATCAGATTAAATTAAATTAAAGAGCAAATCAGAAGTTCTGGCCCAAGCGCGTTTAAGCTTTGACCTTGACTGTTGACCTTGAAACTGGGGTGATGCGACACGCCGTCTGGCGCCGATGCAGAAGTAAAGGACTGGAGCGGAGAAATGCTACATTTTGCAGCTCTCAGAGGATGCGTTGGGGGCGACTCTCAGCTACTACCACTCCATGTTTCTCCACAACGGACCACGTGACTTTTCTGTGTTTACTCATGTGGACTAGGTGCGGCGGCCATTTTGAAACGCCTCAACTGGAGCTGTATTCGTACATTTGAAATATTGTCCCCGATACAAGCGGCTCATGAGATATTTTGCTGACACACGGCTGACCGTGAAGGAGGAAGAAAGCGGGACTCGCCTTTACCTTCTGCATGATGCCCTTCTCGTAGTAGTACCGCAGCGAGCGGCTCAGCTTGTCGTAGTTCATGGCCGGTCGGTTTTTCTGGATCCCCCAGAGCCGAGCCACCTGCAGAACCAGAACCAGAACAGTCAGAACGTGTCCCCACAAGGTTTCAGGTAGAGGACGGTGGGCGGTGGAAGCGTCACCTCCTCCGGGTCGATCAGCTTGAACTCCATGTTGCGTCCGGTCCACACGATCAGGTGTCGGTTGTTCGGGTTGTCGAGCAGCGTGAGCAGGAACTGCCAGAGCTGCAGGGAGCCGCGGCGCTGGTACGGCAAGCCCTCCTGCTTCACTTTACCTGCCGAAATACAAATGGCTTTAGCTGTTTAGAGTCGTATAAATGTTTTACTTTATTTACAAATATTCTCACAGTCTCTTCAAACACTCTGCTGCAACAATCTGCCAGTCTTCGGCTTCTTATGCTACTTTCAGTTGAAAGTTAGGGTTCTGCTACTGTTAGCTTTTAGCTAGCCTTTTGCTACTTTTAGCTATAGCGCTATTATTTTTGCATACCACTCCCTTTTTGTTTTACCTACTGTTTTGATACTTTTAGTTGACAGTTCTGCTACTGTTAGCTTTTAGCTAACCTTTTGCTGTTTTTTAGCTACCATTTTGTTACTTTTAGCTAAGGCTCTAGTAATTTAGCGACCACTCATTTGTTTTGTTTTACCTACTGTTCTGCTACTTCAGTTTGTATTCGGCCACATTTAGCTTTTTAACTAGTCTCGTCTACTTAGCTATTTTTGCTTTTAGCTACTGCTGTGGCATTTTTAGTTTACATTCTGCAGCTTTTAGCTACCTTTCTGCTATTTTAGATACTATTTTGCAGTTTTTGCTTTTAACTACCATTCTGCTTCAGCTACTGCTTTGGTACTTTTAGCTACCTTTCTGTTATTTTAGGTCCCATTTTACTTTTTTTTTTTTTTGGAGCTATTACCTACCATTCCATTTTTGTTTTTAGCTCCTGTTCTGCTACTTTTAGCTTGCCTTCTGATACTTTAAGCTTTTTGCTAACATTTTGTGATGTTTGGCATTTACCCAGCATTTTGCTACTTCAAGCTAACATTTAGCCTCATTTGATTTTTGGCTATTCATCTACTATTTGCAACTCCTATGACACTTTTGGCTGCAGTTCTATATTTTGCTTTTAGCTACTTTTAGTTAACATTCTGCTAACTTAAGCTAAATCATCACTTTGACTTTCAGCTAGCTTTTTCCTTCTTTTAGCAACCGTTGTGATATTTTTTGCTTTTAGCTACCATTTTCCTATCATTCGAGTTTTTTCTTGCAGCTACTGCTCTGGTACCTTTAGCTTATATATTGCTGGTTTTAGCTCTTCTGCCACTACTGGCTACCATTATGTTTTTGGCTTTTAGCCATCATTTTGCTATTTTTCTGCTACTTTTAGCTTAAACGACCCAGCTTCAGCTTCTTGATGAAACTTCAGCTACTTTTCAGCGTGCAGCTTTGATTCTGTGGTTTTGGGGAGGATCCCAGTGTCTCACCTTCCATCCGTTCTGGAACAACGCAGGTGTCATCGAAGAACAAACGAGGCTCTCTGTCGTAGCCGAACCCTGTGGAGGGAAACGTTCGGTTCAGGACGGGCATGTGGGCAAAGCTGTAGAAACCAGGATGATAAAACTCACCAGCACTGTTCTTCTGGAACAGCGCTGAAGATTTGCTGAATGACGACTGGCAGGTTTGAACCTCTGGAAAACAAGATTGGAGACGTGACTCTCGTTTCCTTCGGCTACTTTGACGAGCCAAAGCCGTGGTAAAATCTTGCTCACCTGGTTCAAAACCGAAGTCTCTTGGCTCCTGTTTAATTTTGACATGGTTAAAAGTTGTCTGTGGCTGTGGTGGACCTGGAGGTCCCGTGGCCTGGTACCGAGGGTCCACCGGCTCCTGTTTGAAACTGCGGACAGCGTGGGGGACGAGGGGCTCCGACAGGTGGCGCTGGTACAGAGGGCGGCCGTCACAAGCCGAAGGGTGGTACGCCGTGTTCGTGGCTTTCTCCTGAGGCAGGAAGGGCAGGCAGGGATCTGAGAGCTGCCGTTGGAACCTGGGGGGGGGGGGGAGAAGAGGTTTCAAGCTCAAACACGCAGGTAAGAACAGCTGAAGGACCTCGGTGGACCTCGGTACACAGAACTCACCGTTGCTCTGCGCTGTAGGAGGCACCTGAGCAGCTGGTGGGGGCTCGAGGCAAAGCGAATGACTGGTTCTCCTGTGGTACGGTGGGGCAGCGGAAGGGGCTGGCGGCCGCAGCCGGGCTGGTGAGCTGAGAGGGGGGTGGCTGTAGCTGCCTCTGTAAGGGTGGGGGTCCGGCAGGGTGTATGGAGCGGCGCTGTGTTCCAGGGGTGGAGGCTGGAGCTGGCTTGTTTTCACAGGCACTGAGGACAGAACAAGGAGGAGCGATGAGCTAAAGAAGCTCCGTTACTGCAGAAAAGCTCACGTTCTTTAGCGTCGACCTCCAGTACCTGTAGCTGTAAAGGCACGTGTCAGTCTGAGGCGTTGCACACGGGGACAAGTGTTTGGACGAACCGGGCTCCCGCTTCACTTTGCTGACCGGCGGTCCGTGAAACATCACTGCAACACAGAAACTTGTTTCACAGAAAGTGGCCTCAGTGACGGCTTGGCTGCACAAAAATGGCTAAAACTCAGAACACTCAGCTAAAATGTGAGTGGTTGTAGCTGAAAGTCATCCCTCCTTTATGTTCTGCTGGTTCTGGACTCAGGTCTCTGGGGCAGCATCTTGAGCAGGGAGGTCCAGACATCTCTCTCCACAGCCTCTTCCAGCTCTTCTGGGAGGACTCCAAGGTGTTCCCAGACCAACTGAGAGACATAGACTTTACAGCGTGTCCTGACTCTTCCCCGGGGTCTCCTCCCAGTCGGACATACCCGAAGTTCCTCCCTGGGAAAGCGCCCAGGATCCATCCTTACCAGATGCCCGAACCATCTCAGCTGGCTCCTCTGGATGTGGAGGAGCAGTGGTTCTACTCTGAGTCTCTCCTGATAACTGAACTTCTCACCCTGTCTCTGAGAGTCCAGCTCTGCAGAGGAAACTCATTTCAACCTCCTGGATCCACGATCTCATTCTTTCAGTCTCTACCAGAGTTCATGAGCAGAGGTGAGGGGAGGAACGTAGACCGACCAGTAAACCGAGAACTTTGTCTTACAGCTCAGCTCCCTCTTCACCACAACGGACCGGCACAGAGTCCACAACACTGCAGATGCTACACCTAGCAGTCATCCTCAACTTAAACTCCGAGCACGAACTGAAGGGCTTTGTTAAAAACGTTGGTGTACAATCCTTCAACGATTGTTTCCTTAAAGATTGTTTTTATTATTTACTCCGAGTGTGCCGAGGCTTAAAAAATAAACCTTTTTGTTTGAAACTGATCCAAAATAAGGAAAACACAGGTTGTAAAAGCTGCCGTCAACCGTGGTGCGATGTCTTCAGTCAACAAGTTTCTACCTTTCGGTCTCTTTTTCCATGTTTGCCCTAAATAAGGACTCCTATCTGATCTCACCTTTCCTGGAAACCGTCTGTTCGCCAGCGGGCCACCAGCGTTTCCATCGGTGACGCATTCAGTCAGCTTTACGACCCAAACCCAGAGCCGTCATTAAGAAGGCCGTAAACACTCGACGTGTTTGTCAGCTGGACTTAACGTCCTGTTTTGACTCGGTGCTTATCTGAGGTCCACTTCCTGTCTGCAACGCTGCGGTCATTCATTCGGCAAAGACTCAAAGCGTGCCACGTTAAACACAAACACTTTTACAGCAGATCCACGATGAGTGACAGAATCTTCAACCCATTTTCTTAAGTATTTTCTTGGTTTGTTTTAGATTTTAATCACCTAACATTTTTAAAACATTACATAGATTATTATTGTGCAAGTGGATCCAGTGTTAACGCTACTGGATTTTTAAAATTTAACTATTACATGCAACATGCAACTACTTCTGCTCTTACAATAAAACGTTCAGGTCAGTCAGGAGATGGCTCTTCAGACTTTTTTAAATTTTATTTTCATACATATAAAAAATCCCTATGACAAAACTCTAAGATCTCAAATTCTTTCAAAAACTTGGCATACTTTAGTTAAAACTACAACTGCTAACGCTACTACTGCTAATTATGCTACTGGTAATGCTAGTTCTGAAACTGCTAATGCTAGATCTATTAACACTTATTTTACATATGCAAATGCTAGTTCTGCTAATGCTAATTGTATAATTGGTGATGCTAATACTGCTAATGCTAGTTCTACTGTTGCTAATGCTAATTCTACCGCTGCTCATTATAATACTGCTAATGCTAATTCTACAACTGCTAATGTTCTACTGTCGCTAATGCTAATTCTACCGCTGCTCATTATAATATTGCTAATGCTAA